AATCGAGGGTTGAAGATGAAGAGTATTATGGGGACGGTTTTGATGAAGAAAATGATTAGGATTCAATTGTTAGTTATAGGAGATATGGAGGGCGGTTTAGAGAAGCTAGGAATCGGGAAGATAATAACTTGGGAAGTATTAAGATGAAGATTCCATCGTTCTAAGGTAGATCCGATCCTGAAGTATACCTTGAGTGGGGGAAGAAGATGGAGTTCGTACTTGATTGCCACAACTATTCCGAAGCAAAGAAGGTAAAACTAGCGGTCATTGAATTTTCTGACTATGCTATTACTTGGTGGGATCAGCTTGTTATAAACGGCAGAATAGAGAGCGATCAATAGAGACGTGGGAGGAGATGAAAACGGTGATGAGAAAGCGGTTTGTTCCAAGTCACTACTACCGAGAATTATATAAAAAGCTGCAAGGTCTTAGACAAGGACGCCGGAGCGTAGATGATTATTATAAGGAGATGGAGATTGCTATGATCCGGGCTAATGTAGAGGAAGATCGAGAGGCTACAATGGCTAGGTTTTTACTTAGATTAAACCGAGAGATCCATGATAGGGTAGAGATGCAACATTATGTGGAGTTGAAAGAGATGGTGCACATGGCCATCAAAGTGGAGCAACAACTCAAGAGGGGGGTAGCTCACGTACAGCCCATAACTCAGGTTCTACCCCGTGGAAACCAAGTTTTACAAAGAAGGAAGACAAGCCACAAACGTTCTCAAATCCCAAGCAAAAATCCGAGCCTAAGTCCGACACTTCTACCTCTAGGAACCGTGACATTAAATGTTTTAAATGCCAAGGCAGGGGACACATCGCAAGTCAATGTCCAAACAAGCGAGTTATGGTGATGCGAGACAATTGTGAGATTGAGACTGATGACGAAGATTCCGACATCGACGACATGCCACCATTGGAGGATGTCCCCGAGGAGTATTTAGCCCTTGATGCGTTGACATTGGTGGCCAAGAGAGCATTGAGCTTGCAAGCGAAAGAAGTTGAAGAAGTACAACGAGAGAACATCTTTCATACTAGGTGCTACGTCAAAGACAAGGTGTGTAGTGTGATTATTGATGGTGGTAGTTGTACTAATGTTGCAAGCACACAATGGTGGAAAAATTAGGACTGCCCACATTGAAGCACCCTAGACCGTACAAGTTGCAATGGTTAAAGGATAGTGGTGTGATAAGGGTAAACAAGCAGGTGATAGTTGCGTTTCGAATCGGTAAATACGAAGATGAAGTGTTGTGTGATTTAGTACCGATGCAAGCTGGACACTTGTTGCTAGGGCGTCCATGGCAATTTGATAGGCGAGTGAAGCATGATGGCTTTACGAACAAATATTCCTTTGTACTTAATCAACGACCAATCACTCTTGTACCTTTGACTCCAAAGCAAGTGAGGTTGCAAAAAGAGAGTGAACAAAAGAAAGAGAGTGAAAAGAAGAAAAAGAGTGAAAAACAGAGAGAAAAAGAAGGAGAGGCCGAAACGATTGAGAAAGAAAATGAAAGTGAAGAACCGGCCAGTGAGAGAAAAAAAGAGAGAACAAAAAAATTTCTATGCAAAAGCAATTGAGGTTAAAAGAGCTTTTTTTCAAAGAAGCCAATGATTGTACTTTTGTACAAATAGGCGTATTTAAGCACTAACCAACTTAACGCATCCTTGCCTAGTTCTATTGTTTCTCTTTTGCAGGAATTTGATGATGTCTTTCGCGAAGAGATTCCACATGGTTTACCACCTAATCGAGGGATTGAACATCAAATTGACTTCGTACCAGGTGCTTCAATTCCAAACCGACCAACCTACTGAAGCAATCCCAAAGAGACAAAAGAACTACAAAGACAGGTTAGTGAATTGATGGAAAAATGATATGTGAGAGAAAGCATGAGCCCATAGAATCAAGATCCGCTTCAAGTTCCAGTAGGACCAGTCACAAGAGTTCGGGCTAAACGGTTCAATGAGGCACTTAATGGATTAATCCAAGAGATCCAGAAAAGAGAAGCATGCATGGTCACTATTGATGGTGAGCCAAGATTGGTCCAAGTCATCAAAGCAATTTCCGGATAAGGATTAGCATGAAGTGGGCGTGTTATTGTTCACACGTGCGTTATTGTTCACACGTGCGTTATTGTTCACCAAGTCTTAACGATCAAGATCAATAATTTGATAGTTATCTTTTATCACTATTTGATAGTTATCCATTTTAATAGTTAACCTTAGTTTCTTTTTAGATTCAGAGTTTGTTTAGAAGTTAAATAAGGAGTGTTTATCCAAAAGGATAAAATTCTTTTGTTTAGGATAAATTTTTTTCTTTTAGGATAGAGTTTGTCCACCAAAATTTGAGTTTGACCAAAATTCGACCTTATGTAAATTCAGCCAATTAATAGGCGTGCTTCATATCATTAATAACATATGAGTATTTTTTTCAGTAAAAAGTTTGAGCATTCTCTTTGGTTCTTTAAGAACTTCTTGAACTTACCGGATTCTCTATGGCGTTCGTTCTTGACTTATCAATCAATTCTTCCATCATTGATTGTGGCGTCTTCAATATACCAAGGTTCTTGCTTCCATATAAGTAACGGGTCAAGGTTTCCACCTAAGCCTGATTTTAGATTGATCTTGGAGACTTTCTTGATTCGGGTTTCGTTAGTTTTCTTGGCGGGGTTCATATCAGTAATGTCTTTAAGGCATGGTAATATGCATTTTTTTTTCTTTCCAAAATATCACATAGCAATTATTTGAAAAAATGCCATCAATTCCTTACATAAAACAAGGACAACTTGGACCGGAAATGTAGAAGAGCAAAAAAAAAAAAAAGTATCACAGCTGCAAAGGAAAGAGAAGTTGAAAAACAAAAAAAGAAATGAGGAATAACTAAAGCTAAAATGTAAAGAACGGTTGAAACAGTATAGCAGCTAAAGACATTAAGGAACACAACTGAGTGAGTATACTACTGAGCTAGATGAATAATGCATACCTTTGAGGAGTGCAAGCGCAATAACCACCAAGAGTAATGAAAATGTCATAGAAAATAAGATAAATACCTGCATAATTTAAGGAAAAATTATTTTTATTTAAATATATGGTTACCAGGGTACAGAAAAATCAATCACGCCTAGTTTTTCCCTCCTTCGTTTCACTATAAAATCACAATAAATATTGACCATATAGCAATTGCAGAACATGAGTGTTAAAAGTAAAACAACTGGGCTTGTTCTTGTTACGTTTAACTAAGGTCAAGGCATATATTATGAGAAGAAAACCTAGCAGAATCGACCAATCTCAAATGACAAAAGTAAAAACATGAATTGATCATATCCTACAACAGAGAATCTGACAAATTGCTAAACCGAAAACAACGAACCGTTACAGAATTCAACCAACCAACAGTGCTAAGTGGTTTTATTACTCTGTTTACTTCTAAACCTAAGAACTACATTTATTCAATAGCACTTGACTAACATGAAAGTATGGACGCCGAAAGAGAAGTTTAATTCATGATTGGTGTTTACCCTTGCGAGGAATATCAGCCCCCCCACCCCACCTTTCCCAGATCAAGAATTTTGAGTTCTGACTTCTGACCAAGCACAATTCTCAGATTCCCACAACTATCAAACATCAAAGTTTAACCTTCCACGGAAAAATTTTTTTTTTTTTAATATTTGAACTTAAAATTTCCCAGGTCCAGAATATTGAGTTCTGACTTCTGACCAAGCACAATTCTCAGATTCCCACAATTATAAACATTAAAGTTTAACCTTCTATGGGGAAAAAAAAATCTTTGGTTTAAAATTTAAATATCTAGAGAAATAGCCACGGAACAAGGAGACATTTACTACCAAACAAGTTTTCTTAAGAGTTTGGATTTGATTATATAATCACGTAGACGTTTTAACATTTTATATCAATACATTACAGGAGAGCTTTTATGTAATTTGAACTAGCATCCTACCCACCGAATACTTGTTGGAACCGATTTGTCTTTCAAAGACCCTGAAGTAATATAGTAGATACAGTCCAAACATCAGCTCCGGTGTAGATGAAAAGGCAAAAACTGACACAACCAACTTCCAAATTCGAAATTTGCCAAAAATATCCTGTCATAAACACAAGAATTGGTGGTAAGAACAAAGAAGCACTCCTGGCTGATTTTCTAGTATAAGCAATTAAGTATATCTTAAAGAGCACAAATGTAATCGTGTATTCCCATAAAGTTAACGTTGGATACTACTGAGCAGTGACAGGAAAGGATAAGGCTCAAAGCGAACCTGCTGGAGTATGGAAGGATTTGATTATTAGGTACAAAAAATAGAACAAAAAATACAGCCTTGAAGGAGCTAGATAGAGGAAATAGATCCACGTTGCTAACTTCCAACAAACTGGGTGGTTGAAACAACTGGTTCTTAGATGCTTATCAATGCTAATGGGAAATAATAAGATGTGGTCACTTTGCTTCACGTTTGAAAAATAAAATCAATCCAACTTAAGACCCACTTTATATATGTTAACGATTTGTAAGACAGCTATATCTTAAACCTTACACTCATACAAGATCAGCATGTTATAGTTTTCAATTTGAAACTAGATTCAAACTTGACAATATCACGGTAGAAGTGTTGAAAACCAATTCAAAGGGATAGGAAGACAATATTCAAACAATGATAGAGTCATTCAAATCAGCTTCAAGCACAAATAGAATCAAATTCCCAGTTGCTTCTCTTTGCAAGAAATTACAAAGTACATATTCATAAGGCAGGAGAGAAGAGTGAAAGGAGTGATAAAAGTGGGAGCATATGAGGAAGGATTTTAGAACCTATGGTAATTAAGCAGGAGGAAATGGATTGGGTGAAGGTTTTCAAATCCTTCAAGGAATCCCAATTTTAATCTCTCCTAATCATTTTTAGTAGGAGGAAATGGATATACCTAGGTTATACATATTTCTCTCCTTCCTATTTTCTCTCTTTCGTACCAAGCACAGCCTTATCGACAAAGAGCAAGAAATCCAATCCAAAAAGACACAAAAGTAGTATTGAAATACACAATTTCAAGAAAACAGGAAAGGAGTTAATATCATTCCTGAACTAAGCTACTCCAGCACTAAGAATCCCTTCTTTTGTGACTTGGAAGGCGAAGAGCACGCTAAACGGTTTCTAATAACAATAAACAAAGAACAAGAAAACTAGAAACGAAATTTAACTTTACAATTAACAGGAAAGGAAAAAAAAAAAAAAAAGAGTTTCATGGATAAAATCGAATTTAAGTCAACCTACCATATGCAAAAAGCACAAAATCCCAGTCCAATAACAACTACGGAATGCTTTGGTGACCAGTTAAAAAGTTCAAAATTACAGTAAAAACATCTCTCTAAGATCATGATCAATGACATCAACAAGAGAACACAAACTCAAGGAAACTGAAAAAGATGCATTTGGGTCCTATTGGCACAAAACCCACTACAATTTACATCTTTAAAACCCTCAATTCACCAAAATTCTCATGAAAAACAAAGAAATAAACACGGAAATAGAAAGGGTACCATATACGAAAGTCCGAGCCTATTAGAACGGCCTTGGATCCCAAAGAAGACGGTGAAGAGAGCGCAAGCGATGACGAAGGCTCTCGTGACCGGAGCATTGTCTGTAACGGAGAAATCAGACGCATTGGATCAAAGATTATTACGAGAAAAAAGGGGGAAAAAAAAACACACACACACACACACAGAGAAGAATAAGGTATATTTATTTTTATTATTTTTGGTGTTGGTTTACTCACTGAATCCAGATGGGCCTCCGTTCATCTTTCTCGGAGAAGGAAATAGAAATCAACGACCTATCTCTCTGATTCTGCAAATTCCCTTTTTCTAGTTTTTTCTGGTTTCGTCAAATTTTCGCTTCGGGTGCGAAGCGACTCTTCTTCTGTTTCTTTACTTCCTCTTTTTTTTCCCCTTGGTTTTTCCCTTTCCAAAAAGTTTTGTTTTGTTTTTTTTAATGATTAGTTTACAAATTTAACAAAGGAAAAATATGGTTTTTTTTTTTTTAAAGATTTTTTCAGATAAGCCTCCCCAATAGTATTAATTATTAATAGTTAAATCTGATTAAAATTATAATAAATTAAAATAGTATAGAACATATAACTTTTTATATAAATTTAACGAATAAAAAATAAAAAGTTACTAATAATTCATTTTTCTAATCGTATTTTAATTTTAATTTGATTTATAAAATAATATAATCACCTTTAACTACTCATATTATATATATATATTTATATATATATTTATATATATATTAAAGTTATGCAATTTCTCATTATTTTTGTTTTTTTTGCTTTTGTTTATCAATTGCCTTAGACCTCGTTCGTTTCGCTTTTTCTCCTCCTCTCCTCTTCCTTTACGGCGTCCACTAAATCAGAACAAAGCCTCCATAATACAAAAACAACTAAATGTGATATTAAAACAAAAAATAACCATGTGTACAATGATACTAATGCATATAAAAGATTAAGGACTATCATAATAAAATGGATGCCCATAAAATGTTTGATAAAATAGGTTAAAAAAACCATTTAAGAATAAACAAAAAAACATATATATATATATATATATATATTTCAAGGTTTATAAAGATGAAATTAGCTTTGACTAGGGATGTGGGGGTATGCTTTTTATTCTCTAAAAAAATACTTTCTAATTATAGTTAATGTGGGTATATGCTCTTTTATTTCCTTGATAAGAATACTATTTAATTTATGGTTAATGTAGGGGGTGTATCAATGGGTTCTAATGTAATTTAACAATATGAACAACATATTTAGAACTACCCTACGATGCTTTGGGGCATTTGATTCCTTGTAAAAAAAATAAACCCGGCTATATGAAAAGGTTTTGGTTTGGTCTTAAGGGTAAAAAGGTCAAAATTTTTAATAGGGTAAAAAATGTAAAGTTGGGAAAATTAGAGACCAAACTTGTAAAGGAACTTTCCAAAGATCATGTGAGGCAGTAAGACATAGGAACAACCTTTAGGACGCATTTGGAACTCGTTCTAAAATGATTTTATTTTTTGTATGAAAATGAAAATGAAAACGTTTTCAATCTTAGACAACAATCATTTTAAAAAATGTATTTGGTAGTTTTATCAAGAGATTGTTAACTTATTAATGTCTCTCTCTCTGCTTGAGAGAGGAAAAAACAAAAATAAAAAATAAAAAACGACTAAAAGTCATTTTTCATTTCTCTCTCATTTTACACTAAATCAAAAAATCGTTTTCATTTCTGTTTTTTGTCTTTATTGCGCCAAACGCCGTTTTAAAAACGTTTTTATTTTTTTTCTCGAAAAACGTGAAAAATAAAAATGAGATCAATTTCAAACTCGACTTTAGGTTCCTTTAGAAACTAGTTAAAAACAAACGGTCAATTTTTATTGCAAGAGTAAAATAGTCAGTTCAGACACCAAGCTTCAAGTTTTAGTTCATGGTTTTTTAGAGCAGTTTGTTCCCCATATAAAATACCCTAGATCTGTAAGGTTAGATTTGTCAAAGCCGCTAGGGATAAATGATCATTTTTAACCCCGAGGACAAAGTCGTTGACTGAGATCAGTACGGACACATGGTCCACATAGATAAAACACGCATAAATAATTTAAGCATAATAAGTCATGCATTTATTTTATATGCTTATGTTTTGTGAGGCATGTTTTTACTTATTGAATTTTCGCGCATAAAGTTTATTATGTTATAAGTAAGAAACCTACAACTCAATAAATGATTAATAGACTGACTCAACGCAAATGAGGGAGGCATGAGAGTGAATACCACCATGCAACTTTCTTGGTAAAATTTCAGGAACGCCAGAAAAAAGATAACAATATTTTATTTCTGTCATTAATTTTAAATTTATCCTGTCACTAAAAAATATTCTGATGGGTTATTCTTTTTTTAATCTTATAAGTTATTTTTCATATCCTATTAGATTAGACAATCTTTAATGTAAATATTAATATTGATTATATATTCGGCATCAAAAGTATAATATGGTGCGTTATTTTTATTTGTGATCAAATATATTGTGCTATTTGAAATATTAAATATATTTTTCTCATATTCATTAAGTTTTAAAGTTGTAAAAGTTGTCACAATCCACCGTCTAGCCACTAGCCTAGGCCGGCAGAAGGCGGCGATGCATAATGACATACATAACATATTACACTTTGAATTAAAGATTTGTTTTAATTAATTTGTCTAACCATAAAAAATATGGAAAGTTTTGAACTTTTAAAAAGTCCCTAAACCAAATTCATAATGCGGAAATTTTGATGAGTTTTTTTTTTTTTTTTTTTTTTTAATTCATACGAGATTTATATTAGGCCATATGATTGTTTTTCACAAATTTAACAAAAGTTCAGGCATCAATCATTGCGGAAGTTTAGAAATAAAGTTCTAAAAATAATATAGTTCCAACAAAATGAAAAGAAACTTAACTTTTTTTCTTCAAAAGCTAAAATTAAAAAGTTGGTTATAATAAGTCGTATAACATATGCACCACCATCTCGATCCGTTTCTTTTTACTCACTCCTCTTTAACCACAAATTTACCTGCAACACAAGAAAAATCTTACTGAGCTAGAAGGCTCAATAAGCAAGTAAACTAATTATTCTAAATATGATTAATTGCATACCATGTAGGAAATTTTTTTCAAACTCGCTAAACCATAAGAATACATGTGTATAAGTTGAGTGGTAGTCATAATATCATAAATTTCCATATTCATATACTTCTAGAATTTTAATCTCCTTCTTACTACAACCTTACTAACGTTAAAGCTGTTGACATCTTTTAATTAATTGTGCACCCCCATAAGTACTCTCTCATAAAAAATTCAAAACAAATACAAAATAAAAACAATATAAAGTTACTACATTACCCTAACGAGTCCGCATACTCTTAATTTGTCTCTTTTTTCGGGGATCATAACAATTAAAATAAAAAAAGAGAGAAAATAATATTACAAGGCACAACATTAATCACACGCCCCTATTTGACATGATCATAAACTAAAACAATTTTAAACAACACACAAGATTAGGACATACTAAAATAATTCAATACACATTACGTAACTCATATCATACCTTGTCATGAGCTTTTCATTCTATACATATCAAATCATAATCTCATATCAACATGTCTTATCTAGATACATAATTTATTACATATTAAATGATCAAGTATCTTAACGTGCACATATTATATCTATTAGGTATGTGGGACTGCCTTATGTCGGCTAATGCTCAATCGTATGGCTATTCTAGATTACATGCTATTGAGTCTAAGGAATCACATGCACTAGCCTCACGTACTATCAATAAAGCGAACTTGGCTTCCAGAAGTGTACCATTGACTACATGTGACTTGCTTATCTCATTAGAGTTACGATCCATTGGTATTCACATAAGCGATAACGTGGGTGTTCATGAGATTTTTTCCCTTCTCACCTGACCAAGGCTTAGGGAATTCACCAGCATGACTCCAACGGCCACTTAGGCCACCATACCTATAACCCGGGAACTAGAGAACAATATTGCATTTCTTATCATATGCATAATCTTGTGATCCCTTAATGGACTTGTAGCGCGCACCCTAACATACAATCCTAACATATAACAAATGCCAATGTATAATTAAGATGTCATGTTTTAGTCCTAGTTCTCATATTGAAAATAAAACAAGTCATATAGATTCCATATAATTTTAAGTGTTAGATATCTCGCACTCATGATAAAACTGACATTCGATAAATATATCAAATCGTGCGTACTAGAATAAATCACACCCTAATTTAACTTCACCATCTTTAAAGCTTAAACGTACCATCTTATTATATTGAGCAAGAATATATTATTTACCATCCTAAGAATTTTATGAGCACATCACGGTAACATATATTTATATCAAGATTCAAATAATCATGAATTGACGTAATAAAAGGATAATGCGACATTTCCCCTTCTTTTTTTTAACTCGATATTTCAAGTAATTCATGGCATCAAGAATCAGAGAAACACATAATTCTAAAGTAAACCTACATCACTTGCATTGCAGGTGCATACTCCACTTATCTTAGATGTTAAATTCCTAAATGTAAGCTCCTCGATCGCAATTTGTTCGGTTTACAAGTGTGGATTAGGTGCTCACCTATTTTAACAAGCGTTTTCCTATTAATGGGAGCTTCATAAATTCTCTCAAGACTTACTAACGAATTTCTAAGAGTAGGAAATTATATTATTTTATTTCATATGTCTTGAGACTTAGTGCGAATAGGGTTTAGATGGAAAAAGAAAACGATTTTATAGGGCTATTCATTGTGTTCACAATCTAACAAAACAAATCAAGGGCATACACATAACACGGTCCTCTCATTCTTAAGCACTTCTATCGACAAAATGTGCAAAAATTTTACAATTTCCATCTTTCACATGATTTTCTCATCAAAATTATTCATTCCACTCATGTTTTATGAAAACAGGTTTGCCGACTCATACGGAAAAATTTATGAAATATTACAATTCTTATCCCATGCTAAAGTAGACAGCGAGTGCTTCATTTTGATATATTATAGAGAAAATTGCTGAACTCACCCTTAAAAAGTTTATGAGTCTGTATTTTTATCTCTTACTCTTAATTAATTCCCTTTTGTTAATATAGTTATTTGACTAAAAAATGTATTAATTAAGAGTAAAGGGTAGAAATCAAGACCCATACACTTTTAAGGGATATTTATCAAGATTTTTCTATGTTATATGACCTATTTTTGGTCCGTTAAGACCCTTAAAAATGTTTTATAAACTGACTATCATAATTTTGGCTATGAGTGTCCATTTTAGATGTTCTATATACCAAATCAAAACTCGAAACCTCTAGTTTAAAGTTCAAAAACCTTTTAGGGTAAAAACACTC